TTCCCCACCAGGCTGGCGGGATCGAAGGGAAGGCTTTGGTGAGAGCGAGAGAGTGTGTGGGTGCGTTCACCGTCCATGCTATTCTATCCCATCAGTTTGGAGAGCAGGCAGGCTAGTCGGGCCAAGGTCAAGCACAAGCGATGAGGCATCAATCGCCTGCAACGCTTGCAGCGCATGGAGCCGCCCGCCTGCCAGCCCTTTGGCGCACGCTGCCCAGCGTTCATGACGGCTTCATGTTGCGGGAGGAGGCGTGGGCTCGGAGATGGCACTTATGTGCCGGCACGAGCTGGAACATGGACTGACCAGTTGCCGGGCCCGAATCGGTCCAGGTCAAAGATGAAGGAGCTTATGAGGGTGAGGGAACAACAGCGACGGTGAGCGAAAACCGGGCCGCAGTTCCTGTTGGCTCGTTCAGTACTCGTCCTGCTTCTCGTGCCTTTGGCCCGTGCTCTGAGATCCTCCAAGGGGGGAGGGGTGCATGGCGCCATGCAGACCAGCACAGTCTAGCGCCATTGGTACCGGCAGCCACCAGACGCAAGCTCGAAGCAATCAGAGGCTCTGTCGTTAGCAGGGCTGGGGGGTCGGTCCCACAGCGATCTGACGCCCACGGCGACATAGAAACACCGTTGGAATCTTGGTTCGATATTGCAGGGCGCGGGCCCTGCCTTTCTCGCTAGTTTGATGAATTCAAGAATCGATGAAGCTGTAGACTAAGGCCGGGGGCGAGGGGAGGGGGTGGTCGGGACGTGGTGCTGCTGGTGGTTCTGCTTCGTCTCAGTTAAGGTTAAGATGGTGATCAGTGGGAAGGCTTGGGTGGTTTGCTCAGGCACCCCTTCACCTACTGAACCAACCTTACCTCCAGTGAGCGGCTGGGGCTCTGAACGATAATCACCCTACCGGCTGTGCCACCATGCCCTACAGGACCGCGGATCGAAGACATCCTGCGTGACTGTCAGGTGGTGGAAATGGGCTTGGAGATGAGACGGCATCGAGGTCAGGCAGAGCCAATTGGGCCGTTGACAGAGCTGTGGGGGAGAGAAGACTCACGCGCACCTTCAGATGGTGGAGTGGACACTAAACCTAACTGATCAGCGGGCCGCCTTCCTCCGCGCTAATCCGTGCTCCAAATATGGCAGCGCAGCCGAGGGGCAGGTACGACCTAGGGTCCGTCTGGTCCAGTCAAGAAAGGGAAGGGGTCCCTGGTGGTCTTACCCACTCCAGGCCGCCGGGCAGGGGCCACATTTCCACCTCCAATGGAAAGCTTCCATCCGGCGGTGGTCCCTAGGCAGGCACAACCTCCATTCGACCACATGGGAGGGAAGGAACTACTCGAACAGCGCGGCATGGCGCAGAGCCCAGCACTGCACTTTCCCTGGGTTCAGATTCGTGGCGTGAGTTATGTGTGATGTGGCAGGAACAAGCAATAGCCCAAGCTCACCAAGACAGACGCCTTTTCTCGTCTGTTTTCGCCTCGAATCGCTCCACCCGCCGACCGCATCTGCATAACGCATTAGGCCAGCATCTACCAACACGGCGACTGTGGCCGTCGCATGACCACGACTCGCCATGTGGCCCGGTTCGTCCTCGATTTGGCACCGGTGCTGGAAACCCGAACCGTCGCTACGGCTCGAATCAGGGGATCAGCCATCATTCCATCCCGCCATCCTTCGCCGTTGGCTGTCATTGAACTATATGCCATGCATCCCGTGGCGAAAGGGCCGACAGGAAGAGAGGCACAGCGCTTTTTCTTCCCTTCGTTCCCGTCTCTGGACACCAACTTTGCCCCAATCTTTTCACTTAGTCATTCTCCCATATCCCCAAGTCGAGTCACTTGTTCCTGTCCTCGGACCCCCCAGATTCCAATCTGAAATGCGCAGGAATCTATCTGCAGCAGTACCGACAACAGAGGATCCTGCCACAAGAAGTTTTTGACTCTGCCCAAGGCGTCCTTCGGCAGAGACACCGACTGAACCGGCCCGTCATCCAGCGCCACACTTCATCCCGCTTTCAGTCGCCTCAAACAGCACCAACCGATTCTTCGAGCGCGACGCTCTTCCCCGAGCACATCGCGCCTGCCGGTGCTCTCGGCGCGTGAGCTGACCCTGTCCTCGGTTGTGCTAACTCTATGACAGCAAATGACATATCGACGCGTGACTGGGCCCTGAACATTTCCACAAATAATCTCCTGCAGAACTCCAACGTCTGATAGCGGGTGATTCGGCACGTCCCCGATGAGCCCTACACTTCTCTCTGCTAACGAACACACTTCTCGATCGAAAGGTCGCAAATTGAATGGCCAAGCCTAAGCGACATCCAAGCAACAGCCAAGGTGTCTTTTGATGGCCCCTCCAGATCGCCGCACCCAATTTATCTCTGCCTGTCAAAATATGGTAGCCACCCCTTCCCTTCGCTTGCTGACACGGGGCGAATGGTACCCTGCAGCGCGGCACAGCGCTTATTAATTAATGATGGCCATGGAATTTTGGGCAAGAGTGCCAATACCTAGACTATATGCACTGCTGATCTCGGCTGCAAGAGCTGGAGATGATGGCGTTGTGACTGCTGCCACGCAGGACAAAGAAATACTTTGCCGCACACCCGACCGCCTCATAGCTTGTGGGTAGGGAACATCTGTAACCATCTAAGATCGAGAATTCCCCAGCCAAAGGAAATCGACTGCTTCAGGCACACTGCGGCTAACACGGTTAAGCGTGTGGTGTACCAGACAGGTTGGGGATCTTTTGACAACCCGCAAGACCCAATATTCGCCCCGCCCTTCCGACGGTGGTCAAACTAATATGGACATGACCGATTTTACTGCTTCACAGAGGCCCCAATCTCCCACACCAACGAACCTGAACCGCCCCTGCACTCCTTGGCATACTGAGTCTAGAGCCAACGAGACCGCATGCCGGGTGGCTTTTGGAGGGGCCCACCTACGGAAGCTGTTTCCTGTTGGTCAGGCCTTAGTTCGGTCACTTCGCATGAGCTGATCCGCCGCTCTGGACTCCCCTCTCCACCTCCATAGTATCTCACGTGTTCTAGACAGACCACATATGCGGGCCTCCGCCTTCGCCAACCCTTCTCCGGTGCGGCAAGCCTCCCGTCTCAGGCGAGGCATCAAGTCCTAAAGGGGTCACGGCGGCTTCTCAAGACAATGCCAAATCCCATGTATCCTCCGTCCCCAGACTTGATACTTGGCCGCTATTCCGTCTGCAGTTCGTCAGATCGGGTCCCCTGCCGGAAGGATGCGCCTCGATCGCGAACCTTGACCTCGCCTGCCGACCCATCTACTAGACCTGCCTCTTGGTTGACCAGCTGTGGCAAGGCGCTAGCTAGGCCCTCGGTAGCACGGTTCATGCTGGGTAGCAGCGCGGTGGATCGCCCACCGACCCAACCCCTTGGTGCGAGTCATGGTGCTGTGGCAGCTCGCGTGGTAGAGTTTCGAGCCTCGTGAACCAACTGAGTACGTGGGAGCAGGGGCTAGCTTCAGCCTCCTGGAAGTCTTGCCGTCTTGCCGTCTTTCGAACTGTCTTTCGGTGCAGGCCTCCTGACTTAGTCATCGGAGGCGCGAGTGCCTCATATGTAACAAGTTGCTTGAGGGTCTTTCAATATCCCTCTTGACACGGAGCATCATCATGACCGTCATTATGACATTGAGTGCTACTGCTTGTTTTGTCAAAGCGGTTCGACGTGGTACTTCTCTGCAAGTCTCTAAGTGCTGTTCAAAACACTCAACCGTCGGAAAACATATCCTTTGAGGAACCCTTCGAAGGGTAATGATCATCCCCAATCTCTCTGCGGGCTTCGCCTAAAGTCCCAGACCGGCCTCGATCGGCTAAGACACAATAAACTGTCTCGACCCTCCACCGCCGAGACGCCATACTTGGTCTCGACCCCGAGCGAATCCTACCAAGCCCAAATCTATTCAAACGCCTCAGTCGCCACCATGATGATCACGTCACGCGAACACCGACCCTGCCGCTTTAGCAGTGGAGATCTGGAGTTTCTCGCACGAGCGTTGCATGAGCTTTGTGAGACTTCGACTACGCCTGTTCGAGCACCGCTCCCACTCGTTGAAAGCACGAATCATGAGGTGAAATGGTTGTCAAACTATGAACAAGCTCCGGTGACAATAACGGTTAGTTGAGCACAATGAAGCTTATGTTTGGTAGAGTTCCGTTCTTGTTTGTGACTACATTTCAACGTGCGGCAAATACCTCCGAGTAGGAAGAACAATAATTTGAAGGCTTTCGCTCTCGGAGACAATTGACCGAACGGCCTCAGAACATCAAAGACAAAGGTGCGTGCAAATCCACCAATTACAGAGCACAAGTCCATCCCGTCGAACTTTTGCTTCAGTATACTGACCCATACGAATTGAATTCTTTGTAGACTGTCTTCATCACGCTTTCCGATTACCGCTGTCCTTCTTTCACCAACAAGCTTTGAAATCTCAACAATCATATCTTTAAAGTTTCGAGCTTCATACAACAATCTCGTATGGGTCTGAATGGTGGCACCTCTATTGAGGTGGTGTTCGTTAACAGAGACTTTAGCAAAATGGAAGAACAGGCGATAATCACAAAAAGCTTTTTGCTAAGGGTCTCAAGTTATATTTCCCTACATTTCCTTATATGCATTTCGATCGAAAACCTAGGTAATATTGCCTTCGAAACCCGGGCAGCTAGCCTGGCTTGCCCGACGAAACGCATGACCTTCAGACAACGATTGAACAGAGGAGAGCAAAGGCGGGCGTACCTTGTGTTTCAACAACTGCTTCATATTCACTTCTAGGAATGGTGTCATCGGCGACCTGGCACATGCCTATTTGTCGATTTTGATAAGCCCAGCTTTCTTTTCTGAGGTATCTACGTTCTCGCCGTGCGTCCCTGACTTCCAAATCCCGGCGCTGCAGAGCATTTTTCTGACGCGACATGACTTTATAGTGTGATGAGATTGTGCTGACTAGGATTACGTCTTGAACATCACTTCCTTGGTCAAAGCCCCAGAGTCTGGCTTAGGTCTGTCCTATGGTCCTGCCAGAATTTGTATCCCGATATAGAACTCTGCCCTCGGAAACCCAGAAACTTCTTCACCCGCTCCGGAAGCCCCCGAACCACGTCCTTATCAAGTATCAACGGGTGCGCCTCCTCAGGTGTTAGCACAGAGCTTGTGACTGTGCAGCTGAGAAGCCTTCTGCGCTCATCGGCGGTTCGGTTCGCCTCTCCGCGATGCACAATGCGTCCGCCAAGAAGCAGACAGTCGCCAGCTTTCAGCTCGACCTGCTTGACCTTGTCGTCGGGGAACTTCCAGAAGTCGAACGTCGGATCGGCCAGCGCCTCTGAGTAATTGATCTTGTGACTCCCTTCCACGACACCCGTGGCGCCGTTGGCACTTGTCGTGTCTGTGGCGGCGATGAGGAAGTTGACGGCTACTTCGGGCATCCAGCGGCCACCCATGCTGAGGAACGGCCACCAGGCGGCCGCATCGGCATGCAAGGGTTGTGCCTTGCTCCCGGGCCCGATTTCGATCATCTGTGCCGTGCTGAGCCAGTAGTCGCCCGTGTCGCGGAAAATACCGGTGCAGAGGTCGTGTAGATAGAGTTGTCGATCATTGCATCGCGCCACGTGGGGCTACGGTGCAGCAGACTGCCTAGACGTTTTGTGTTCGACCCGAAGACGATACCGTCAATGCCGCCGGGCAGTGGAGGCGCTGTCAGATTGGCAGACTTGCCAGCCTCGACCTTGGTCAGCACCGTGTCTATATCGGCGTTGAGACTGGAGATCTGGTCGGGCGGAAACATGCTCTCTATGACGACGAACCCATCATCTTTAAGGGCACTGAGCATCTCCTGCCGTCGGCGCTGTACGACTCAGACGTGAATATTTCGCGGCGAATACTAGCGATGGAATAGTCGAGGCAAGGGGCGTTCTTTGCTGCAAAGACGTAGTCAAGGGTGCCCGTGAAAGGGCTCTGCTCAATGTCGTGATCATGGTCTGTGGCTGTAAAAAATATTAAGTGCCGTGTTCAATTGCATGGAACAAAAGTTCGCCTCGCAACCCGAGCCGACTTGAGAAGAAATACCCAATACCTCCGTTAGAGACATCCTCAGGCCATACTGACAGTCGCGTGATAGCTGCATGTGTCGTAACAATCGTAAAAACCATGTCGTGCTTACTATACGCGTACAGATGAGCAATCATGTCGTTGCACTGCCTCAGGTTGTCATGCCCCACGAATGAGGGGTAAGCCGTATTTCAGCGGCCAAACATCTAAAAAGTACTTTGTCGCCTTCAGTCTCTCCAAGGTCGGTACTTAAAGGATGCACATCCTGTCCTGAGCATGATGGGTGACATGAAATCGACCTGACCCGATTGCAGCCCTCCGAAACGTCACCTACCACAAGTCAGCACTTGACTTCCTTCCACAAACCTGGAGGCTATTGGTGAATGTGCGAAAATGACCTGATACCAAACCTTGTGGCTGAGTTGGTGTCGGTTGCCGATCTCAGCACAGCCGTCTATTCGCCAAAATCTATGTCAAATGAACGCCGGCGGCCATCATAAGAAGTGAATTACATGTCACCAAGCGTTCAAACGACTATCGCGGTCTCCTCATCCAGCCTCTTCTTTCCGTCTCTGCCGAACCTAATAAACCTTTTCCTGAGTTTGCGTTGGCCCGATGCCCCTTGGCCCACAGCGCTCGCTGCGGCCTCCGACCTGAGGGCAGATGACCTTGCCGTTTGGCTCGCTGGGCCTGCAGACTCATCACCTCGCTGTGATTGCGCTGTCGCTTCAGGCGCCAGTGTTTCGGTTGGCTGCGTCTTCCGGCGTAGCATGGAGTCGAGCTTTCGGCGCTTCGCGCTGCTCTGGCCCTGGGCGACGAGTTCATAGATCTGGAGGGACAGCCAGATGACCAAGACGGTGGCGAGTAGACTCCCAACTTTCTCTACGCGTCAGATAGTGTCGGAGAAGGTATTGTAGATACTTACTGCTGGCCAGAACCACAGTGCCTGGTGTGATTGGGCTTGGTAGGCCGGATATGTTGACCTCAAAAACGCCCATGATCCAGGAAAGGGGGGCCTAGAGCAATAGTTAATAGATATCGGAGAGCTTGGAGTAACTCTTCAACTCACAAAGACAACTGTGGCGCCTGTAAAGATGAATAGAATCTTGGATTGCTCGTTAGCTGAGAGGGCTTCTTCGATGTTGGCTTCGCGCTGTCGGAGATCGAGTAAAGTCGTGATCTACCCAAGGTCAGCGTTGCGCTTGCACAGGACAATGCAGCCAATACACTCACCGAGGTCCGAACTCGATCAGCATCCAGTCCCAGGCGATCGAAAAAGTCCAGTGTAGGATGAGAGAAACCTCCGAGGCCGCCCCTGACCTGCTCCAGCACGGTGCAGTCCGGTTCTCGCGACCCCTGAAACTCGACGACGACGCGCTCTTGTTCCTTTAATACCGTCTGGATCATATTCACTTCCTCCCTCACATCGTCTATCTCCTGCAGTAGCTCAATCTCGGCTCGCAAATCCCCGAGCACAGTCTTCGACGTGCGCATCCCGCGGATGGACGACTTGAAGGCCGCGTACCGTTTCATCGCCTCGTTCGAGAGGAAAGCCACTGAGCCCGCAAAGACGTTACAGTACGATCGGGGGCCGCAAAATTGGAAATGAAACTCCTCTTCGCTGAATCCAACCGCCGATTCGAGGACATGAGCAGCAATATCCATCATGTCCGTGTCGGCTGACTTGAGACCGGGAGAAGCCAAGACGCGATGCTTGATCTCATTGAGCAGCGTCTTGGCGTTCTTGTCGTCCCAGCGTTCGGGATAGCAGGTAATGATATTGTCTACGCGACCCGTCAGTTTCGTCTCAGATTGCCGGTCGCCGTCGTGGAATACAAAACTGAAGGACAAATAAGAAGAGGGCAACCTACGTTCGTCGATGCGCCACATCCACAGCTGCGACACCATCAACACCTGCTTGCGCTGCTCCTGCTCGATCCCTTTGCGCTCACGCGCCACCCTTGCACGCACGCTGCTGGCCACATCCTGACGTCCAGCCATCCTCATCAGCTGCTCCTTCGTGCCGTCTGTCCGCTTCTGTTTGTCCGAGTGCTGCTCGAGCAGCTCGCGGTGCTCAAACGGGTTGCCGGACCCCTGGCCCGACTTCTGTTCTCCAGCAACGATAGATCCGTCATTCTTCTGCTTCTCCGCCTTGACAAGGCTTTCGAGGCGCAGCAAGTACCGGTACAGAACCTGGCTCTCGTTCCTCGCGCGCACTTCCTCCTTGCTCAGCGATTCGTGGTACGACTGGTCGAGCGTCCGCGGCACGTGCAGCTCAGACTTGGTGAAACTTTGCCGCAGGCTGTTCATGGCGTCGAGGTGCTTGAGGTAGGGGAAGAGGTGGTGTTGCAGGCCCGTCGGCATGGCGCTCAGTCTACGCGTGCGCTCGGCCGTGCTGGCGCGGAGGAGCTCCCTCCTGGGCGCGACGTCGCGGCTGCCGGTCATGGCGGAGCGGAGGCGCTCGCGCGTCTGCTCGTCCATCTCGACGTCCACGACGGGCAGGACAAGAGAAAACATCCTCGGCAGGATCGAGGGGAGGGCGACCCCGAGGTCGAAGCCGCATCGGCGGGGGGTGGCACCGGGAACCCGAGGGTGCGACCGAAAAGGGCGGTTTTGCGGTAAGTGGGCCCGAGTACCCCATTTTGGAGGTATGTTTCGGGGAACGAAACGCTTGGGGGCGGGCCCCTTTTCCCGCCTCGGGCGCCCG